CATTCTCTTTGTTGATGTGAATAATTTTACTCCTATGCAAGGGCGAATCATGAGCAAAAGGTCCTCCGGCTCAAAGCTTTTTTTTTATGATTTACATGGTGGCGGTGAAAAGGTTCAAGTCATGGCTGATTTAAGGTATAAATTTGTTGCCAACCCCACTTCTTTTTCTGGTAATTTATATCTTAATGTAGTAGTAATCCTTTAGAACAATGTAATGAACTACATTTGCCATCTTTGCATTTGTTATTATCTGAAACAATTCTTATATCATCTTTTTTTAGGGTTTAAAAATTTCTTGAAGATTTTAGTTGTATTTAGTATATATGTGCAGGCACACACACAGAGCATGCCCAAGTCTATATAGTTTCTTTGGTGAAACTTATATAGCAGTTGGTTTAAGTTTGATTTTGCTCTGAAGTTGCTAGTCATCAAATACTATTTTTTATGTGTAAATAAGATCAACTGATTCTTTTCATATTTTCTCATCTTCCATCTAATTTTCCAATCCTGTGAAATAAAAATACCTTGATCAGATGATGGCATGACGTTGGTCTTGTAGAAAGTGGAAAGCTAATTATTGTATTGAAGTGTTGTTGGATGCTCACTCCCATGGAAAATTCTGGATTCACCCTTCTTAGATAAATGTAAACTATTTTGCTTCTCCTTATGTGTGATTGACTTCATTTTTTCATGCAGCAAATCGGAGTTGGATGAATCTGAATTTTCTAAGTTCCATTCTAGTGTTAAGCGTGGTGATATTGTTGGAGTGACTGGGTTCCCAGGTTTGTAATAGCTGTTGATATACCTTTTACTTGTAATTTATAATAATTTGCTTTCGAATTATATGATCCAGTAGAATAAGCACTTACTAAGCACAAGTGTTTTTGTAATAGCTGCATGGTGTAATCCAGATTATAGTTTTATGTTTCACTTACTAAGCACTATAGGAACAAATTCATTTCCTCTACATTGACCTGTGACATAATTTTCTGCTGGATTTTGTATGTTTCGTGACTATGAACTGTTCATTTTGTCTGGATTACACAATTTTCTGTTTTGTCTGTTTGTTTCTTTCTTTTTCTTAGGGAAGACAAAGAGGGGGGAGCTGAGCATTTTCCCAAGATCATTTATAGTCTTGTCACATTGTCTTCATATGATGCCAAGGCATAAAGCTGGTCCTGCTTCTGATAATGCTAATGCGAAGGTGAGCAATAATGTTTGTATTTTTACTGCTTTAATACTGCCTGTGCTCCTATTTTGACTCCATTACATAAACTTCTGCAGAAGACTGATGGATGGGTCCCAGGAAGCCCAAGGAATCCTGAAACATATATATTAAAAGACCAGGTATTGATTGATGAAGAAACTTTTACACCTTTTTTTTTTTGCAGTATCTGTGAGAACACTAAGATTACAGTTCTGGGTTTTGATTAACTAGTCATACTACGTTATTCCCTTAGTTTTCAAATTTTTATTCTGTTCTCGTTTTCCATTATTTTACGTGTTAAGTTAATTGTATTTCTTGCTAGGAAACTCGTTATCGTCAACGTTATCTGGATTTAATGTTGAACACTGAGGTTCGACAAATATTCAAGACCAGATCTAAGATCATTCAATATGTTAGAAGGTTCCTGGACAACCGTGATTTCGTGGAGGTTAGTCTTTCAGCAGCTTGCTTTCTGTATCCATTGCGTTTTCATGGCCATTTGTTGATGGTGCCTTGTCTTTTCTATCTTTGTCATTTGGTTCTTCTATTTTCTCCCACCCTCAGGTTGAAACTCCGATGATGAATATGATTGCTGGTGGAGCGGCTGCCCGCCCTTTTGTGACTTATCACAATGAACTTGACATGAAGCTTTTCATGCGCATTGCACCTGAACTATATCTCAAGCAGTTAATTGTTGGTGACCTGTCTCGTACCGGTGTTTATGAGATTGGAAAACAATTTAGAAATGAGGGTATTGATTTGACTCATAATCCTGAGTTCACTACCTGTGAATTCTACATGGCTTATGCAGACTACAATGACTTGATGACCCTGACCGAGGAAATGTTAAGTGGTATGGCTCAAACATATGCTTCTTTTGCACTTCTCCATGTCTTTAAAACTACTTGGATTTCTTTGCTGATATAATATTAATTAAATCTAAAATAGAGATAGTCAAGGAACTCACTGGTGGGTACAAAATCAAGTATCACTCGAATGGGCTCGATAAGGATCCAATTGAGATTGACTTCACTCCTCCTTTCAGGTCTGTAAACTAATTCATTATTGGTCATGCATGTTATAACTGAAACAGATTTGAAACAACTTATCTGATGGTTTTAACTGGTACTGTGTTGCAGGAGGATCGACATGGTTGATGAATTAAATAAGATCGCTGATCTCAACATAAATACAGCAGATCTCTCTAGTGATGAAGCTAACAAATATCTTAAGGAGGCATGCAAGAAGTTTGATGTCAAATGTTCTCCTCCTGAAACAACAACTCGTTTGTTGGACAAGGTAAATCTTTTTCTTTTTCCCCTTTCCAAAATATTCTTCTAAATCCAGTACATGAATCAGGATATTTTATCCAATTTGAACTAGAGTATTTTGAGGAGCTAATGGTATTTTTCATAGGTGCAATGACATTGAATACACTCATCGCAGTTTCAATAGAGTGTGAATTATGATGGCATATTCTCATCCCAAAAAAAAATTCACATAACTTTGAGATTCTCTACGCCCGTGTATATATACGAAAACTTCATGTAAACCATTAAGAACTATTTGAATAATTCCATTTCCATTACTTTATTCAAATGGTTCTCACAAATTCCAAACATATCTGGTTATAATTTTGCTATTGGGTGGCAGGGAATGGCATTTTAATGTGGTAATTCAATCTCATGTTTTTCTTGTGTTGATGACATTTTCTATCATTGCAGCTTGTGGGGCACTTTCTGGAAGAGACTTGTGTAAATCCTACATTTATCATTAACCATCCCGAGATAATGAGTCCTTTAGCAAAGTGGCATAGATCAAAACCGGGCTTGACTGAACGTTTCGAATTGTTTATCAACAAGCATGAGGTATGTTTACCAACTTGAAGACTTGTTTGAATTATTTATTTATTTGGCATCTTTTGGTTTGTTGCGTTGTGCTTGTTACCAAATGTTATTTTGCTGGGCAGCTCGCCAATGCGTACACTGAATTGAATGATCCTGTGGTACAACGCCAACGATTTGCTGATCAACTCAAGGTATATGACTTCACTGTTTAGTTTTGGTATCTTATTATAAATTGTTTGGTTCTTTTTCTTATGATATGTGGTTTGAGTTTCAGGATCGACAATCAGGTGACGATGAAGCAATGCCTTTAGATGAAACATTTTGTAGAGCTCTTGAGTATGGTTTACCTCCAACTGGCGGTTGGGGTTTGGGCATCGACCGGCTCTGTATGTTGTTAACTGATTCACAGAATATCAAGGTTTGTGCCCTCCATCCCTCCTTCCTCTCCCCTTCAATAATCTTGTGTTTGTGGTCATGTGTGAGATGTCACCTTTAATGGTTTCTCACTGTCTATTGTTTGTGGTTGGATAGGAAGTTCTTCTCTTCCCGGCTATGAAACCACATGCTGAGCCTTCTGCTAAAGGTGCTAATTCTGATGTTGGAAGACCTTTCTGGCATAATTTTAAAAATCTTCTGCTGTCCCGTGAATTCTGTTGCTGTTTGATGACGAGTTTCATAATGTTATGTTTCTTTTTTATATATGAAATAAATCGTTAAGAATTTTCTTTTTCAAGTTAAGACAGTGAAATTTGTATGTAATTTGATATTGTAATTTATTTTTTAAGAATAAGTCTGAAAATTGTACAATATGTTTGCATGCATGATATGCCTGGTTTCTAAAAAAATGCACTTCCGTCCGGTGTATGATATGCTTGGTTTCTGAATTTTGCCGTCTTTTCATTGTTACTTACTGTCGGACTCAACCCACCGACTGACCAGTGGCCACATCAGCAGTTAATGAATGAGCACACGGTCAATTTAACAGAAGAATTAAATTAAACAGGTTTGAAAATATTAGAGGTGTAATTTGATGAAATTGAAACCGTGGCCCATATTGAGAATGACTTCAAATATCTAGGGGGTGTTTTGTAGTTATAGCTTTTAAAAATAAAAAAAGACTTCCAGGCAAAGTCTTAAGCTCGAAATTCATTTACTACCTTAACTAGCACCATTCTTAAAGTTGCTCTCGTGTTACCAACGTGCTCGAAAAGCAATTGGGAACAAAAATGTCAAAATACTTGGAATATCTCAAAAGAGCTTGCCAGATCATCAACTTTGTTCAGATTAATCAAAACCATCAAGTTCTTCACAGAGTATACGTGAGGAAAGTACTCTGTGATTGTTGCATAACATTGAGAATACAATTGAATTATGTTTACAAAAATATCAAATGCCCGCAATTGAGAAGCACTTCTGATTATTCTCTTCAAGTGTGCTGGCAGACTTCTCGCATCTTGCTGAGAGAGAATCCCACATTGGGGAATCAAAGCCTTGCCATAGTTTAAATGATCTTGAGTAGTCATTGCCAATTGGTTTCGAGTTGAAAGCTCACATTCTAATATGCTATCATTAGAGTCCAGGGGCGAAGCCACACTAGGACCAGTGTGGTCCCGGGCCCCACTCAAGTTTTTATATATTTTAAAAGTAATATACTGTTATGTATTTCTATATGTATATTATTTCAAATACTTTACGTTTTGATATGTACCCACATGTGTTGTGGCGAATCTATTAAGGCACAATGAGGTGCTTCAAATTGCCCACTTGCTCAGTTGGTGGTGGTGCACTCCAGATGTACAGATTACCTTATTTCCATTTTCAGCATTTAAATAAATGTCTTTGTCCTTTTACTTTCATTTATTTTTATATTACTCTATTTACTTAAGTTTACAATGTAAATAAAGAAGTACCCCCTATTTGGATTCAATAACCATGTCTAGAGAAGCTCAAGCAATATTTTCACTACTGCTAATGGCAGCATGTACTGTAATCGTGCTGGCAGATGTGTCACTATCACCACCACCCTTGACCTTGCCAACGATCCCAGGCCTAGTGCCACCAGGGATCCCAAGCCTATTGCCTCCAGGGTTCTCGGGCTTATTACCTCTAGGGATCCCAGGGCTACTGCTGCCAGGGAACCCGGGTGACATAGCAAAGTGTTGGTCATCACTTCATAACGTTCTTGGGTGCGCATGGGAAATTTATACCTCAATATCTACTGGTAAATTTGTAGTAGGCCCTGCTTGTTGCAAGGTCTTCCAAAAATAGAATATTTTAATCGTATAGCGGGGCGGGTATACTCCAAAAATTATAATATCGTACAAGTATCGCCGGGCGGCTATACTAAAAATAGAATATCTTAAACGTATAGCCGCGCATCTATTCTCCAAAAAAGAATAGCTTAAAGGAATAGTTGGGCGGCTCTACCCCAAAAATTATAATATCGTACAAGTATAGATTGTCAGCTATACTCCAAAAATAGAATAACTAAAAGTATAGCCGCGCGACTATTCTCCAAAAGAGAATAGCTTAAAAGTATAGCCGCGTGGCGGTACTTGATAAATATAATAGCTTAAACGTATAGTCGTATGGCTTTACTCCAAAATTATAATATCGTACAAGTATAGAAGGGCGGCTATACCCCAAAAATTGAATATCTTAAACGTATAGCCGCACGGCATAATATGCATAATATGCATTTCTCTTTCTTAAACGTATACCCTTCAAGTGGCATAATATGCATTTCTCTTTTTTAATTACTTTAATTAGTAGTTAACTAATTAAATCAGGCAAATATATTATTTAATTACTAAAAATAAAATTAGAAAAAATTAATTAACCTAAACATACTAAGTTTATATTTATTTTAAACGAAAAAACCTCTTCCGACAAAACTTCGTTCGCACATGTCTATCTCATTGAAATTTGTTGTATTAGACATCTCCCGACAAAATTGCGTCGGCATATGTAATATTCGTCGGGAGAGGTCTAATCCGACAAATTTCACCGGCATAGACATGTGCCGACAAACGTTCGTTGGTAGAGATGTTTTTGTGTTTTTGTTTTAATATTAAAATTATAAGGCTTTTTATCACAAATGGTCCTTCAGGTTTACAAAATTATCATGAATCATCCCTCAGGTTTTTTTGTGACACTAATAGTCCTTTAGGTTATCATCCACCCATCAAAATGGTCCTTCTGTTAGTTTTTGTCAAAACTTCCGTTACAATCACGTGCTCAGCTTGCTTTTTGAAATAATAATATCATTCCACTCAACCTTCGACCAAACCCAACCATTAGAACCCTTTCCCTCCATTTCCTCATGGTCCTTCCATTTTAGCGCCCCTGTAGTATATAACCAATCAAAAAAGAAAAACAGCAACTTCAAATGAAATCTTGCATGTCGTAAACAGCTTGAGGTTGAAAAATAGAAGTCCTGCAAATTCATTATCAATGGCGCATCAAATACAGAGTCCTAAAAAAACTATTGAACCACATCAGTACTCAAAAAACCAGTGCACCACATCAAAGACATCAATCTTGAGCAAGTCCTAACACAATACATCAAAATGAACTTCCCAAATCCTAACAAAATACATCCAAATGAACTTCCCATACAATACATCAAAATGAACTTCCAAGTCCTAACTCAAACTCTCCATGGTCTTCCTCTTTTTGCTAGAGACTCAAGTCTTTTTTGCTGGGTTTGTGGTGTCGTGCCTTGGTTTGATGAAGAAGGTTGTGAAAGAGGAGGCTGTGAACCCACTATTGGTATCGATGTATGAGATTGTGCAGTTGTTGTCCTGTTATGGCCTCCTCTTGCCACCTAAACATATTAATATACTAGTAAAATGCCAAAGAAAATGATATTATATTTTGACCATAGAAAATGACATATGAAAGTGAAAGAACCTTTAAATAACGTTCTTGGGTGCGCATGGGAAATTTATACCTCAATATCTACTGGTAAATTTGTAGTAGGCCCTGCTTGTTGCAAGGTCTTCCAAAAATAGAATATTTTAATCGTATAGCGGGGCGGGTATACTCCAAAAATTATAATATCGTACAAGTATCGCCGGGCGGCTATACTAAAAATAGAATATCTTAAACGTATAGCCGCGCATCTATTCTCCAAAAAAGAATAGCTTAAAGGAATAGTTGGGCGGCTCTACCCCAAAAATTATAATATCGTACAAGTATAGATTGTCAGCTATACTCCAAAAATAGAATAACTAAAAGTATAGCCGCGCGACTATTCTCCAAAAGAGAATAGCTTAAAAGTATAGCCGCGTGGCGGTACTTGATAAATATAATAGCTTAAACGTATAGTCGTATGGCTTTACTCCAAAATTATAATATCGTACAAGTATAGAAGGGCGGCTATACCCCAAAAATTGAATATCTTAAACGTATAGCCGCACGGCATAATATGCATAATATGCATTTCTCTTTCTTAAACGTATACCCTTCAAGTGGCATAATATGCATTTCTCTTTTTTAATTACTTTAATTAGTAGTTAACTAATTAAATCAGGCAAATATATTATTTAATTACTAAAAATAAAATTAGAAAAAATTAATTAACCTAAACATACTAAGTTTATATTTATTTTAAACGAAAAAACCTCTTCCGACAAAACTTCGTTCGCACATGTCTATCTCATTGAAATTTGTTGTATTAGACATCTCCCGACAAAATTGCGTCGGCATATGTAATATTCGTCGGGAGAGGTCTAATCCGACAAATTTCACCGGCATAGACATGTGCCGACAAACGTTCGTTGGTAGAGATGTTTTTGTGTTTTTGTTTTAATATTAAAATTATAAGGCTTTTTATCACAAATGGTCCTTCAGGTTTACAAAATTATCACGAATCGTCCTTCAAGTTTTTTTGTGACAATAATAGTCCTTCAGGTTATCATCTACCCATCAAAATGATCCTTCTAGTTAATTTCCGTCAAAACTAACGTTAAAAAATCACTGCCCATTCGACCAAACCCAACCCTCAGAACTCTGTCCCTCCATTTCCTCCTGGGTCCTTCCATTTTGGTGCCCCAGTATATAACCAATCTTGAAAAGTAAATTCTAAAGAAATTGAAACAATAACTCAAGCAAAAAGATAGACAACAATTACAGACGATACATGAAATCCCATATGTGCATGAAAGAGACAGAGAGAGAGAGAGATTACAGTGGCGCTAGGTACACCATGAAGGCCACGGAGAGAGAGAGAGAGAGAGAGAGAGCGAGAGA